ATGAGGCTGAGAAGAACTTGCAGAAAGGCGATGGTAAAATGATCAGTATATGGAGTGAAATACACAACAATGTTTAACATGAGGTCATTGTGATTATAATTTGCTTAATGGATAAAAATGTACAAAAGTATTTTTGCAAATGAAAAAGACATGATCTGTATGTATTGAACAACTATTTTTACAAAGTACGTACAAATGGTCAGTGGAAAAAAAATGATAATCTGGACCTAGTGGTGACCAAGTACTTTTGTTTTAGTAAACGAACACAAAAGGAACATTTAAGTCATAATTACTTAACCTAAAGGTACTTATACAATAACGTATTATATGCATTATAATAATAACATACAATAAATAAACATGACATGCAAATATGAAAATTATGCAAAAAGAGAAGTCAAAAAGATTGGAGACTCTGGAACTTTACAAAGGTTGTTGCACTTGCAACAACAAAGTCAGTATTAGAAACAGCTTAGAAGCATCATGCATGACATTGAACAAGTGGTAAGTTTATTAGTTTGCAAGACTTAATGCACAGATCTATTCTGACATGCATTATCAGATTTTTTTTGTCAGTCGCGATGGTTTTCGCTGGGCTAGGATAAGGGATGGATTTAGGGTTTGGTGTTTTGCAGTGAGGACCATCTCAAAATGGGGGCTGTCTCTAGTCAGGAGTTTATAAGTTTGATTTTTTTTTCTTTTTGGCTTTGTTTATTTTAGGACTTCAAGGATGGGAGGAACGACTGAAGATATCTGACAGAGCACATATTGGTAAAGTTTTGTTTTGACTTCATGAGGCCTTGAGTCATTTTGACGTATTCCAGATGACATTGACTGTACTGCTTTTGTCTCGGTAACCAGGTAACTTCTCAATGACATTCAAATTAGAGCTGTTCCCTTTTTCTGTGTAGTGTTCAACTTCCATCAGGCTGTTGATGGGATACAGGAGCAGCTGAGACAGCAGCAGGCAGGGAAAAAGTAGGTTTTCTTTTTCTGTTTTGCACCTATAAAAGCTCACATTTGCAGATTGATATTGAGTTCACCCTCCTTTGTTTTACAGTTTGGGCACCACTAAGAAGGGCATTGGACCTGCATATTCCTCCAAAGCAGCGCGTAATGGACTGAGAGTGTGTGATCTGGTCTCGGACTTCTCAGTATTTGAGGAAAAGTGAGCATAATGATAGATTTCTTTTTAATATTTCAGAAAACTACTTGATAACATACTTCTGTGTGTTGTTCTTAATAATCATATCTGCTTTTTTAAACTTTCTTTCTCTTCATGAAGATTGACAAACTTGTAAATATCTCTCTGCAGATTTCGGGTGCTGGCTGGTCATTTTCAGACCACATATCCTAACCTCAATATTGATATTGATGCTGAGCTGGAGCAACTGAAGGTGATTTAACATCTTGGAATGTTTCAGTATGTTTTCAACGTCTAAATCATAAACCTCCCCAGTAGCATTTTTTCCATTTCACCCACAGGGTTATGCTGAGAGGTTACGGCCCCTTGTGACTGATGGAGTTTATTTCATGCACAAAGCCCTTACTGGACCAAGCAAGAAAATTCTGGTGGAAGGAGCTAATGCTGCCTTACTGGATATTGATTTTGGTATGAATGGCAATCCACTGGTGTGCTTTAAATATTTTGACCTTGAGGACAGTGAATTTTATATTTAACAGTGTGAATGAAATGTCTTCTTAACAAAGTATTTTTCCGTCTCTCTCAGGGACCTACCCCTTTGTAACCTCATCAAACTGTACCGTTGGAGGCGTTTGCACAGGCCTTGGAGTCCCTCCGTCTCATGTTGGCCGAGTGTATGGAGTGGTAAAGGCTTACACCACCAGGGTTGGAGTGGGAGCATTCCCTACTGAGCAAGATAATGTGAGTGTGTGTCAGGGTGTGTTTTGAAGAGGAGTCAGGGGGTAAAACTTGTGACATATCTTCACATGTATTGTGCTTGAAATTTGAACATTTCTCTTATTTTCTAGGAAACTGGTGATCTGCTGCAGAGCAAAGGGAGGGAATTTGGCGTCACAACAGGCAGGCGGCGTCGCTGTGGATGGCTGGACCTGGTTTTGGTTCGCTATGCCCACATGGTTAATGGTTTTTCAGCGTGAGTTATGTTCAGTGTTTTGAATTCACTACCGTTCTAAAATTTGGACTCAGTAAGATTTTTAGGATATTTTTGAATGCGTCTTCTGCTCACCAAAGCTCAATTTATTTTATCCACCAAAAAAAAATGTAATTTTGTGAAATATTACAATTTAAAATATTTTTTTTTATTATATTTTAAAATATAGTTTATTTCTGTGATGGAAAAGATGTATTTTTAGCATCATTATTCTTTAGTGTCACGTGGTCCTTTAGAAATCATTTGAATATGGTAATCTGCTGCTTAAGAAACATTTCTTCTTATTATTAATGTTGAAATCATTCCCCCAGGATTCTTTAAAAGTTAGAAATAGAAAGTTAAAAAGAACATTAATTTATTTGAAATATAAATATTCTGTAACATTAAAAATGTCTTAACTGGCACTTTTACATTTACATTTATTATTTTAGCTGACACTTTTATCCATAGCGACTTACAATTGTTATATATGTCAGAGGTCGCACGGCTCTTGAGCAACTAGGGGTTAAGTGTCTTGCTCAAGGACACATTGGTGTCTCACAGTGCATTTTAACCCGGGTCTCTCACCCCAAAGGCATGTGTCTTATCCACTGTGCCATCACCACCCCACTTTTGATTAATTTTAATGCATCCTTGCTGAATAAAATTAACTTTTAAAACCATAAAACCAATTTTTTTTTAAACCTTTTGGCATAGAACAAGTGGAAAAGTTATTACTGTTTTAACCAGTTTCTATTTTGTTTTTCTTTTCTTTTTTTCCGTAGCGATTACAAAGATTTGTTCAGTTTAATTTAACAACCCTTTTCCTTCTTTTTCTCTCAGCATTGCACTGACCAAGTTAGACATTCTTGACACATTGCCAGAAATAAAGATAGGCATAGCCTACACAGTTGATGGAAAGCCTCTTCCCAGTTTTCCCGGTAAGTTACAATTTTAACACATTTTCCGATTTGTCACGCATTACAACATAACCATGCTATTTATCATTTACTAGCATAGACCTTTTCTGATAATGGAGGGGGTAATATTTGTATATTTCAGCAAACATGGATGTCCTCACAAAGGTTCAGGTGACCTATGAGATGTTTCCTGGCTGGTGTTGTAGCACTGAGGGAGTGCGCAGTTTTGATGAGCTGCCTTCACAGGCTCAAGCTTACATTCACTTTATCGAGAATTTCCTGCAGGTGCCAGGTAAAAATACACTTACTATATAACTTTTTAATTTAAATTAATGTTTTAGCCGCTGACATATGCTGCAACCGAAAGAAATATGTCCTACTGGCATGCTTGGAAATGATAAAATGATTATTTAGAAAATGTTTTCTCTTTTTAGTGAAGTGGGTGGGAGTTGGCAAGTCAAGAGAGAGCATGATAAAGCTGTTCTGACGAGGGGAACGGGAAAGACCGAACTTCATTTGATGGTCTGCCAGGACATCCGTCGTCATGACCGTTGCAGGACCAGAACTTTCTTTTATGCATCAGCGCTGAGATTAAGACTAACCATGGGTTTAAAATCCACTGAATGTTCCACTCAAAGTGAACACCAGCATTGTGTATAGAGGTCAGGTCTGAGCACCAGACCCTGCATTTGTAATTCCTCGACTTGTACCCATTTGTTTCAAAGCGCATCCCAGAGCTGCTCAGAACATACCTTTGTCAATCACTCGTAGTTGGCTTAAGTCTGTCTTAAAGTGATGAATTGCAGAACTTCAGACTGAATATATTATTGTATATCTCTTAAAATGAAACTTAGCACTCTGAGCATTTAAATGAGCGTATTCATTGCTATTTGGTGGATAAAATCAAACTGATTTTTAAGATGGTCATGTACTGTTTTATTTTTTTATGTAATCAAGTGTGAGGGTGTCAGCGTTAAATTTTTTGTTAGTTTTTTAATTCAGCATTCGTGTATATTCTAAAATTTGGTGGTTTGAAATACCAAAAGGGACTTTCACACATTAGTGTTTGTGATATTGAAAGAAAAAAAAAGGCACTGTTAACCTTCTGTCAGTGATTAGTGCACTCAGACATAGCTTTTGAATCTATGAATGAGTTACGCACTATTTCATTCTAGTGCACAAATTCATTTCCTGCTGCTTTTGGAAAAATAAAGTGCAAAATAATTTTGGTTTTAATTGATGATTCATATTTTTGAGTTTTTTTCCTCTGAAAATCAATATGTGCATTTTCTGTTTTTGTTGAGACTTACAAAATGAAACGATTTTAATGCACTAAATGTACCACATAACAGCTACTTTGAAAATGATAGTAAAATTGTCAGAATATATTTTTCAATATCCGTTATGAGGTCATGGTGACTAACAGTTCCATCGGAAGATAGATTTCATAAAAAGAATCACTATTATCAGACTAACATTTATAACAAGGTTTCCGACATTTTAGTAAAGCAATGCGTGTTTTTGGTTTTTCTCTGTGTGCTCCTCTATCTTGTCCTGTACAATCTGACATCAGGTAAATTTCAGCAATTTTTAATTATTTTTTAAGACAATTCAAACATTTACTTCAGGAAAATACAAGACCATTACCTCAGTTATTGTGACAAATTTATAAAATAACTTAAAGAGAAACCAAGAAACGTGGGACCAAAATAAATTGGTATAATTACAAAAAATAAGTGTACTATTGTTTCATTTTCTTCTTTACAGAAACTGCATAGTGGTGAAAACCCTTCTTTAAATGTACTAATAAAGTCATTACAAGGATAGTATCTGTTTGTTATTTTAAAGTGATTTTCTTTAACTTTTATTAGGGAGTAGTGCCCATCGACTCACTACAACTGCTGAGATTCAAACATAGCGCCACCTTGTGTTGAACATTATTAGAGAGAATCTCTTTTAAGGAATACGTGGCAGTGACGTCAATGTTTGTGTTAAGACCCGGATATTATTCACAGCCTGCACAGTTCAGCCATCAGAGAGGCAGAGTGGTGAGAAATGAATCCTTATATCTTTCAGCTCACATGTTGTCATTTCCCCCTCAGTACCTCAGGACTTACGTCAGTGCTGCTCACATATTCAGATGCGTGTAAAGTTAGTTTGACCGATGAAAGCATCTATAATCACACATTCTACTACTTAGCTTAGCAGCTAACTTAGCTACAGTTGGTTGTCAGAGTCAAAGAATATCAAAATTAGTGTAAAAATACTAAAATTATTGTTAAAAAATATATATAGATACATACTATCGTATTCTTCTGTCACAATCACAACTATAGAGTTGCAGTACTCAATAGACATTCTGTGTTGGCTAGACAGCTGTTTTTGAAGAGAGATTGCCAGTAAAGACATTGAAAATGTTACAAAATATTTCTATTTCAAATAAATGCTTCTTTATATTCATCAAGGGTTCCACTAAAACATGTGGCACTGTTATCAATTGAAAATTATAAGAAATGTTCAAATCAGAACATTATATCATAGACACATTCCCAGTGCTGTCTGGATGCTTTCTATTTTATGAGACACCCACGTGTGCATAATTTAAATGATAAAACATTAGAATCAGAATCATTTGGCTGAAGAATCAAAGTGAAACATTTGTTTTGCTGTTAATACACTTTCACCTTGATTGATTTCTCTTTGCCCCTCTTAAGGTGATGAGTTGGTGCATCGATGAATGCACGTCGCCGTCACGGTCCTAGAGGCAGCCAGGACGGGGTGTACACTGGGCCTTCTCAGACCCAGTCCCAGCTGGAAGCCCCCCTGGCTGTCCCAGTACCCATCGCCCCCGTCATAGACACATTCAGCATGTCCTGCCGAGACCGTACCAGCGAGTTTCAGTCTGTGTGCAAGTCCCTGCTGGGGAGACAGGTGCAATAACTATTGATTCATACTGTCTGGGAACCTGATGGGTTCAACAGTTTCTTAAAGTGGAGTTTGTGTTCATAATGGTGGTAGCATGAAAAAAACAAAGAATTTGAGTTGATTTTATTTGTCCTCTTCCAGAATGGAGCACAGCCTGTCAGAGCTGTCAACAGTGCAGTCAGAGAGCGGAGTGAATTCACTGTCTTTGCTAAGTGAGTAAAACAAATTCTTAATCACTCATAAACAGTTCGAAAGGAAAGCTTGGATTTATCTGGTTTTCGGAATGGACTGGTCATATATTGTATCTGATCTTCAAATAAGTAACAGCAATACACACATGCACAGTCTGCTTAAATCGATAACACACATTAAATTTCAACTGTGATGTGTTTTGTGCATACATTTTTTTTATAAATATGAATTCTTCTTCATTGTATTATTCTTAATATCATTAGATTTTTAAAAAGTGGCAGTTTTTAATTTAAATGTGTACACTACTGTTCAAAAGTTTGGGGTTAGTAAGATCTTTAAGTTTTTGGTCAGGAAGAGAAGTTAATTTTATTCAGCAAGGAAAGTAGCAGGAAATATATGAATAATTCTAAAAAAGATTTCCATTTAAAATAAATGCTCATTTGACCTTTATATTCATCAAAGAATCCTGAAAAAAAAAATTAACATTGAAAATAATAAGACACTTTTCTTGAGCACCAAATTAGAATTATTTCTGAAGGATCATGTGACTTGAAGAAAAATTCAGCTTTGCCATCACAGACATAAGTTACATTTAGTTACATGTATTATAATAGAATGAATGGACAGTATAGAATGAATTCTATACTGAATTAATGGACAGTATAGAATAGAATTTTTCATTTTTTTTTGGTAATTTTGATCAATCAAATGCATCCTTGGTGAGCAAAAGATAGCATAAAACATTTTAAAAAATCTTACTGACACACACATTTGAATGGTGGTGTACATATTTTTTCTAGTAAGGAATAGAAAAAGATTCTTACAAACTACTTGTGTTAATTATGAACGTGAATATTATATGTATAATTATGAATGAATATTTCTATTCAAGAATTACATTTCTTTATGACTTCCATTATGAATTACACTGACAGTACACAGACTTTATTCAAAACATTGTAACTATGTAAGTCTATAAATCATTAATCTGCACTAAATAAATAAATGAGCATCATGTAATTGACCCAAAAGTCATTTTTTATAGGGCACTATAAAAGAGTGACTGACTGGATTCCAGGTTAGCTGACTTCTGACTGCAGATAGATTTTGAAGCTTTTGTTTGTTCATTGTTGTTGAAGATCCGATCAAATTTAATGATCAATTTCCTGGAAAATCCAGAGGGTTCACACTCACAGACCTTTTCCTGCAACTGTATTTATTATGGGCACCGAGATGTTGCATATGACCTATAATTTATTCAGACCTACTTAAGCTTTAATGGTCTGTGTTATTTCATCGACTTGGCCGTATGACAGATATTGACCAAATCTAATTAACAGGCGAATTGGAAGAGACCTCAGCAACACTTTTGCCAAGCTGGAGAAGCTCACAATTCGTAAGTATCATGTATCTCTCGCCATCTCACACATGTACCACAGTGGACTGTTTTCGACGTGTAACTCAATCTGTTTACATCTGCAGTTGCCAAAAGAAAGTCTCTTTTTGATGACAAAGCAACTGAAATTGATGAGCTCACTTACATTGTGAAACAGGTTTGACTGATTCTTTCTTCCTCTTCACCAAGAACACATTATTCTGTCTGTCCATTTCATACTGTAGTCTTATTCATAACGGTCTGTGTTCATTCAGGACATCAACAGTCTGAATAAGCAGATAGCTGGCCTGCAGGAACTCGTTCGATCACGAAGTGGACAGAATGGCAGACATCTTCAAACACATTCCAACACCATCATAGTCTCATTACAGGTATTAACCTCTGGCCTTTGTGCTCAATCACTAAGTAAAGTTGTCTACTGGAATTTTGCCTGGAATGAAACATATTTTTCTATTTGTAGTCCAAACTGGCATCGATGTCCAGTGATTTCAAGTCAGTATTGGAGGTCAGAACAGAGGTAATTGATATACTTGTCTGGTGTGGGATGCCGCATGCTAAATTATGGATCATTTTTAAGATGTTAGGGGTATTTTTTGTCTCTCTGTTTAGAACTTGAAGAAACAGAGAAGTAGACAAGAGGAGTTTTCTCAGACTCCTGTCCCATTATCCTCTTTCCATGCCAACAGCTTCAGTAAGAGCATCGCCTCTCAAATAAAAGCAAAGACAATGTCCGCCTTTATACATTCATGTAGTTTAATCTTCCTTTTTGCTTCTCTTTTAACAGACAATTCAGTTCTTATGCAAGACGACTCCAAGAAGACAGATATATCTATAAATATGGACCTCAACTCCAGTCAGCAGATGCAGTTAATCAATGAACAGGTATTATTTGTTCAGCGAGTGTGTTGGTAAGAGTACAGCTGCAGGTAAACTCATTCAAATGTTTTTGAATCATTGTTATGTGTCTGTTTAGGATTCATACATTCAGAACCGTGCTGACACTATGCAGAATATAGAGTCCACCATCGTGGAGCTCGGCTCCATATTTCAGCAGCTGGCTCACATGGTGAAAGAACAGGAAGAGACCGTACAGAGGTGAGGAAAAAATATTTGTCTTTTTATGTCTGGAAGGATCTTATTTGATGGGTATTCTAGGTCCTTTTAGATTTGAGATTTTTGACATTGTCTGCTCCATATTTTCACCTATACCAGTGTTACTGTTAACAAAAAGTTCTGTTAGCTAAAATCAAATAAACTTCAATAGAAATAGATGTATTAAAAACACTAAAAGTAATAAAAGCACAATTGAAAATGAAAATATAAAAATAAAAGCTAATTCAAAATATTATAGAGGTCCTATTATAACCTTTTATGAAGTCTTGATTTTGTTTTTGGGTGTACTAGAATATGCTTTCATAGTTATATGTGCAGCATTGCTAGCAACAGTATAACAATTATTTAAATATGGAGCATTATGACTTCACAAAGCCTGGAACAAACAAGCCTTTTCTTGTAGTTCCTAAAAAAGTGGATTCTATTAAATAAAATATCTCCCTTTGGAGTGGACTTTGAGTTTTGTAACCTTTTTTATGCTTAAACAGCAACATTGCACACTAACTAAAGTTGAAAAACTAAAGAAAATACTAAATGATAATAATAAAATAACGATGACCTATATCCAGAAATGTAGTTTGAATGCAAGCACAAGCCCTTTTCTATTCCACGTTTTCAGTGTCTAATCAATAAGCAATTGTGTTTTTCTCCATTTTCTTCCATTTGTGGTCAGGTCATCATGGTCTATAATGACCATAATGAAAAGCTCTCTGCCATTGTAATCGGCTCTTTTACTGCCTCGGTAACAGTTCCTCCTGAAGTAAATGGTACCGGTAAAAAAATCTCAGTTGATGTAATGGTTAAAATGGGGGGTCAGTAATTGTAGGAAAAAGTAGGAAAAAAATATACTATGGAAGTCAATGAGACCAGAAACTGTCTGGTTACTGATATTCTTCTAAATATCAGAAAATCGGCTGAATGGATTCAAAAAGGGTTAAACTCAACTTTTTAACTCTGGGGGAGTTGTAAAATGAGCCTATTTCCAAAAAAAAGTGGAGTATCCCTTTAAGACGGTCTGGGTCTTCAGGATCAAAGTTGACAAAGACTTTTATAATGTTACAAATTAGTTTTATTTCTATTTAAACAAATACATGCAGCACTGGTGAGCATTACGAGAAAATAGAATTTACTACATAGAACAGTAGTGTATTTACATTGAATGAACAAAAAGTGATTCTTGTTTCCATTGAACTTCTCTCTTCCCTGACAGAATTGATGCTAATGTAGAAGACACTCAGCTGAATGTGGACCTAGCGCACACAGAGATCCTCAAATATTTCCAGTCGGTCTCCAGCAACCGCTGGCTGCTCATCAAGATGTTCCTAATCCTCGTCATCTTTTTCATTGTCTTTGTGGTTTTCATGACCTGACGTCCACCTTTAAGAGGGGAAGATTTGAGGAATTTGGGGATTCTCAGTATTTGAAGAGAGAAAGGGGCTGTTGTCTCTTTCTCTTTCTGTCATTTCTTGGCTCTTTCTATGCTCACAAGCTGCTGACCGCTCTTTTAGCGTTCTTTTTCCCAAAATTGGTGAATTTATAAGACTCAATTCCAGCATAAGCAGACCAGATATGCGTTTAGTCAATCTAAAATAGTTGATAAATGTTTAATTTATGCATGTTTGTCCATTTCAATTTCAATGTAATGTGTTTGGTATCTGTAGAGAAAACTTTTGGACGTGATTTCCCATATTTTGGTTTTCTAAATCACACAGATTACAGAGAGATAAAGCCCACAATCATGACATAGATTAAAAAAACACAGTTTTAACATATTCTGGATCAATGTGATAAGCATTAATCAAGGTATACACCTTCAGACACCACTTCTTCTAAGACTTTGTCGTGCATTAACATGTTTTCTCTCTCTTTTCTCTTAATATCCTTTTAGAGTGGACTATATGCTGGGGTTTGTAACAGAATCCCTCTTATATTCTGACTGCTGCAGTTAGCAACCAAGCCATCTCAAATAACTGTGATGCTTCCACACTTTTATGGTGACTCTGCCTAGAGGTTTTGATGCGTATTCTTTGTATTTTTGATTTCGGGATCGATTACCACTGTTCTAAATAGAGATCCGTATTTGGAGCTTGTGGTCTTTTCCAAATTTTGGTCAAAGCAGAGAAATGCTTTTACATGAAAGTTGAACATGATTCAAAGAGGAATTATTATTTTTTATTTCAATGGATGTTTTAATCATCCTTTACAAGCTTGTTTGTACATTAATGTTCAGCTTGCTGGTCTTGAGGTCCTTGAGAATACTGCTTTCCAGATCTCAATTTCAAAAGCATACTGTAAAGATTTAAAAAATGGAAATAGAAATGTATGCTTTATTGTATTGTCTGTTTGTCCTTTTTATTTTCTACAGTAGCATATGTGGTGAATAACTTAAAATTCATGAGATTATTAATAAAGTTAGCTGTTTTTAAATAGAGGACAAAAGTGGCATTTTTAAAGCTATGATGTTTAATTTTTGGATTTGATAAATATGCCACATTTAATTGAAGGGATGCATATGAAAAGTTTGGGGTGTAACAGCAAGACCATGATGTAAACTGCTTGAAATAATGCTTGAAGGAGACCAAAGTGGCATAATGCCAGTAAACCTTTTATCCACAAAAAAATATTAAGCAGCACAACTTTCCTACATGGATGATATAATAAGAAATCAGCATATTAGAATGATTTCTGAAGGATCATGCGACACTGAAGACTAATGGCTGCTCAAAATTCAGCTTTGATACCACAGGAATAAATTACATCCTAAAATATATTTAAATAGAAAATATTTCACATTTGATGGAATGGAAGTCTACAAACATTTCATGATGAATCAGCTAGACCATGCTGTAAAAATGCTTGAAATACTGTTTGAATAAGAAAAAAGTGTCATAATGCCAGTAAAGCTTTCTTCCATTATAACTGAGGAACAAGCAACGCTATCAAACAATCTGTGTAAAAAAACAGCTAGTTGCCAGTATCATAAAGAGTTTTCTATTCCAAACACAGCGTGTTCATGTCGGTGCTCTTTCTTCCACTACACTGATATCAGGCATGCTCCTGATCCTGATCCTCCTATTCCTGTGGATATTGTCTTCATCCCAATCTTCCTCTTCATCGTGGTGTCCCGCTGTGACCCTGCTCCAGAGCGGGTTGATGCGGAGCCGTGAGCGCAGGTTGATGACAGACATGCTCTTACTGCGATTGACCCGAGTCTTCTGTGCTCTCTCCCTAGTTGCCCCCTCCTCCATCTCATCCAGGTACTTACAAAGAACCGAACGGAACAGACGAGACACCTCGGTCACATCTGGCTCTTCCTCTGTCACCACTTTCCTGAGCCTAAACAAAGCATAAAAGCAGATTAAATGTTTAAAAAGTTTGTGTTGTAATCGGATTAATGTTGAGTTTTTGTAATATTGTTATATAAACAGTAACCATAATTGTTTTGTTTTACGCCATTGTGATTTTATTTTATTTTGTGGCCTATTTTAGTTTAGTAGCTATAACTATTTTAATTTTGTTTTATTTTCTAGAGTGTTTAGACTCTTTGGTGTTCTCTAGAGATTTACAGCAATTACAGTAGCCTACTTTATGGTATTGAAAATAAATAGGCCTGGTTTTATTGTTTTATTTATTTTTTATTCATGTGCCCTCATAAACTGTCATCAAAATAACTTCCCCATCCTCCGCAGCCTAGCTTTGATGACGTGTTTACTGGCGTGAGGGCGGGGCAACCTCTCACTTCCATGTGATTGATTGCAGCAATAGCAAATCACGATCCAATCAATTCCCGATAGATAAATCCAAGTAGCTACTACATTCGTGTTCGCAAAGCAATTTCACACGTATGTTACCAGGAAAACCCGACCTCCATTTCAAGATTTCAAGCCGAATGAACTAATGAACAAAATGAACAAATATTTTCGTGTCATTTGGTTCATTGAACGAACGAAATGAACGAATTGACTCGGAAAAAGATTCGTTCATTTTGATGAAAGAGTTCGATCATAGGGTCACTAACGCGAATCACAGAGCAAGGCGACCATTTGAGCTTATAAAACTTAAACTTTGGGGGGTTTTTTTATGTTTTTTAAATGAGCGATCGTTTTGCTTGATAAGACCCTATGGATAAGACCCTTATTCATCGCCTGGAATCGTAAAGCCCTTTGAACAGTTTGCGCTGAAACTGTCTTTTGGAACTTGAACCGTTTGGTTAATGTTACATTGTGCATTATATGGAGAAAAATCCTGGAATGTTTTCATCAAAAACCTTCATTTCTTTTCAACTGAAGAAAGAAAGACATAGACATCTTGGATGACATGGGGGTGAGTAAATTATCAGCATTTTTTTTTTAAGTGAACTAACTTACTTCTTTATGCCCTTAAAGTCATTGTATGATTCACAAACTTTGTTGTCTAGCATTGTTCAGTAAATTGCAGCCTGTATTTTTTCAGTTAAGACGTAGGTGTACCTGAGAATGAGGGGACCGCATTGGGAAGGAGGGATCTTGGCACACAGGTCCTGGAGCTCCAGCATCGCGACAGGTGGAATCTCGTAGGAGGACCTCGGTGGAGCTGTAGCCAGCCAGCTGTAATCCACACAGGAGCTTCGCCTGCGGTTCTCCGTCGCCCTCTCCTGACGGAGACGCTCAGCGCGCTTCACCAAAGAGTCCAACTCGAACAGCAGCATCTTAGTTACCAGTTCCTCAGGCGAACGCTGACCGGGAAGCTGAGGTTCCTTGGAGAACACAGATAACCATAGGAACATCTGAAATGGTAAAGAATTTTGAAGTGTACCATAAACCAACAACGTTATACAGCGATATGCGCGCCAAAGCGTGCTGGTGTGCTGACGATAAACAAACTCATGAGTTAGGGTAGTCTATTCAAAATATGAATAATAAAAGGCACATAAAAAGACATTTTCGAAAAATTGGTTCAAGAGTTATGTGACTTACCTTCTCCTAGATGTGCAAAATGTTGGTTATATTCTCACTGGAACTTTCCATCAAATTGTTCTGAAATATTCACTCAGGAGTGGGTGGTGAAACCAACAACAGCACATGCAGTCAGTTCTGTAGCTCTCAACACGAGATAAATGGATAAAGATAATCCCTTATGATATTAATCTACTGTAAAACCACATTTCAATGATTCATCACTGGCAAATAAAAAACAACTTAGCAGTTTGTGTCCAATCTGAACAAACTGTTAACTGGTCGGTCTTAATCATTCTGATGAATAGGATTATTCCTATTACACAACGTAGAATTAGATCCCGATCCTCCGAATAAACACTGCTAAGGGTGCCTGGCTGCTGTCCTTTTGTGTAGGCGTAACAGATATGAAATCAGATTAGCAACATAGAGACTGACATATAATAGCTTTGCAGCTCTCATTTTTCAGACATGTCTGTAGCATAATTCATCCTAACAGAGGAAACTGAAGTTGTAGAGTATGACATAATACTAATATTTGTCAGAACTTGACTTTCAAACAGAAGAAGCTGCAGATCGAAGTAAAAAATTGATTTAATTTCTTGTTATGTTCCTTATACCACTGAACTTCTCACATTTATTCTTTGGCCTCCTGTCTCCCCACTCTTGTTAAAAGCCCTGGGAAATTGCTAGGATTAGATTAATGTGTAATGTAAGAGTTCTTAAGTACTGGTGTTCAGAGAAGAGCTGCCACTCCGCATGTGTCCGTCAGTCTAGGAATGAGGAAAAAGCCAAATCAGCTCATTTTTTTTCAACTTCCTGTCATATCTGAACAAGTCCAGGAATGTGTGTTTTTAATGGATAATAAATGGAGACCTTCTAAATTATTTATGGTTTTAAAAATAGTTTTTTACTTTTACTGCACATACTACTTTTTTATGTACATTTGTTTATTGAAAATGCGTTTATAGCCAAGGTTTTGTTTGCTTGCTCAAAAGTCCTTTTTAAAACCACAATGAAAATCCCTTTTCTCATGGGACAGTGAACCCAACCCATATTCCCTACTTCATACTCATCTGCTTTTTTTCACACCCACTTCCATCTCTGCAAATTCACTTCCTGCTAGAATACCCGTCCATTAGATTTCAATCAATTTGGGACTTTTAAACCAGTGACTCCTCTTCCATCGGTTCTTCTCTGTAGGGCATTATCACATTGCTTTCTACATTACAGTTCCTAGTATGTCCCTTTCATATTTTATCTTTAAATGTCTCAGTGTGGACTTTAATGTTAATGAGGGAACGGAAACGGATACTGGTAACTTTATCCCATATTTCCACAGTTGATAGGAAGCAACTTAATCTGAATTAAGAATTCATCTGTCATGTAATCAGTGACAAATCTTATTGGAAAACTATTTACATGAGATTAATACTCTGTAATTCAATGGAGTAAGAAATTAATGCTTATTTTCTAGTGCATTTCTATTTAATCCATGATTATATCTCATGTATATAATTCTCTATAATAATAATAATAATAATAATAATTTATAGCCTATCCCAGCACCTCAGGGTGAAGGCTATTAATTTAAAAATATTTATAATAAAATAACACTTTTAATTGCAATGTTATACGTTTTATGAGCAGTACCTCCAAAAATTCACATTTCTTTCTTTATTATAACTCTTATTGTAATTCAATTTTAGAAAAACAATATTACATATTCCTTATAGAAATCACTGTCATGTAATGTAACTAATGTAAAATGACTTTATTAGAAATGTATTTATTTAGTTGTTCAATTATTTACAACCCTTTTACCTTTTTCCACATCATCTTATTTTTGTCTCCATAAGACTTACAGCAAACAAACACCCCTCCCTTCCTGATCACTTTTTATATTTATCACCCAGTATGTTGTCACCATAAATCTGCCATATGCATCTGTTCAGTACGCGGGTCTGATTTATCTCGGCTTGCCTTTGAGTAATAAAAGTCGCCCATTGCTTGTGGAGCCAAGAATTTGAGAAGGTGATCCAGAACCTCTCTCACAAATTACACTGAGGGATCAAAGTGGGAATAAAAGTTTATTTAGAGAGTGCAAAATGAATCAAAGTCTTGGTCAGAAGTCATATGAGGTCTATATCTATGTCTGCTCTAAGAGAAACTGAAGAAACACTTACAGTATATGATTGGTATTGAGGTGCACGTTTGCTGTTACTCTATTCAGATGTGTTTGGCAAAAATCATGCACTGAGAGAAAAAAAGACAGAGAGGCTTAATGGTCTTTGCTAAAGCATGTTTTTTGTATCAGAGTCCAAGTCTTGTTAAAATGAGTAAAAGCCAATTTCATCTTCAGCACGGATGGCACCTAGCCCAGCGTAAACAGCACCGCTACATCAGTTAATTGCAAACTTTGTGCTGACAAAGAGACGACTGCACAGGGATTATTCTATCTATCTATCTATCTATCTATCTATCTATCTATCTATCTATCTATCTATCTATCTATCTATCTATCTATCTATCTATCTATCTATCTATCTATCTATCTATCTATCTATCTGTCTGTCTGTCTGTCTGTCTGTCTGTATGTCTGTCTATCTATCTGTCTGTCTGTCTGTCTATCTGTCTGTCGATCTACAGTATCTATATATCTGTCTGTCTGTCTGTCTGTCTGTCTGTCTATCTATCTGTCTGTCTGTCTATCTGTCTATCTATCTGTCTGTCTGTCTGTCTGTCTGTCTATCTCTCTCTATCATCTATCTATCTGTCTGTCTGTCTGTTTTGAGAGAGACATCTGTCCACTGCGATATAATGGAGTTATAGATATTCCAGAGGAACTCGTGCACTTTCAGTCGTCATAAATAAAAACACATAAAGAGGACTGTCAAATAGAAATAGGAGTGAAGATCAAAGGTAATGGTGTTTTGGATGTAACATCACACCCTGAATAACTGACATGGCTAACATAGTTTTTTTTTTTTAATTCAATCGCTAGGACACATGTTTACATACTCTTTTCAAAAATGTTAATCATAAATTCAAAAACTAACATAATACAAAGTTGAATAAGACAGCAATTTGCTACATTTTTATAGTACCATATTGAAATATATTACAAATCTAAAAAATGAAATGCTGCTGAACACACAGATGTTAGTCTTTCATTTTCATCACCATCCATATAAAAAAAGAGGAATAATTATGTACTGTTATAGGAATAGGAATAATTATAGGAATAATTGTGTACTGTTATGTAAACATGGGCTATATATAACATACACCGCAGTGATTTCTAGACGGCAGATGTCATTCTTGTATGGTAAAGACAGTGCTATGCCAGACTGAAGGTTGTTTAAGAGATCTGTGTGATGAGTTTAGGAAAAAGTGGCCTAAGTGAATTGAGAAATGTGTCCTAGCGATCTGTAAATATCTGTCCACGTTACAGGTTTAACACATCTACTGTTTTCCTCTGCTGAAATCCTCTCGCACCTCCAAAAGGGCTCAGGTAAACTGTCACTTAGTGATTTGTGTGAAAGAAACTGTCAGCAAATAGACAGTTGACCTTCATGTGCATCCATTTAATTATGTTTGTGCCTGACTGTTGAGTGAGCTCCAAATGAGCGCTAATGTTACACTTCAGTCATTACACTATCACTGCCCACTGGGGAATAATCCTTCCCATACTTGTTAACACATTTTCTGGCTGCTGACGTGACCCTGTAAGTCAAGCTTTTTGGTGTAAATAGGGGTGTTTTGGGCACGAGCCAGCGATGGGAATGCTGAGACTTCTAGCAGGATCGTGTGATGGTGTTGTTTCCTCTTTGCAGCAGCAACATTAGTAGCCTTGTGATGCATCATCATGAATAATAGAGAATTTTTGATGGATTTCTTATCTGGTTATGTAATGGTGATGGCTGTAGTATATTAATGTTACACAAACGTAGTGTTTTCCCCTCTGGCTTCAAGCTTTCCTTTTGATCTTAAACAAAAACCTCATTGTTTTCGAATCAACAAAATCATTTAAAGGTGGTGATACACATACAATGCTTCATTGTACCGTGTGACTATCATGAGAAGTGTAACTCCCACCCTGGCAGGCCTGAGCATGTGGCCGCTGGCATACAGCTCGGAGAACCGTGCAATGTCTGCAATGCTACAGCTGCACTTCCCAGTAAGTTATGCACATTAGATACTCTCATACAGACACGAGCATATGGGAAGCGTGTGATAGAAGGAGAGCAAAAGCAAAGGCGAGGAAGCTGGAAAAGATAGTTTTGCACTTCCTACTACTTCTATAGCACATATGAGAGATAGTAAGTGGAGGTTATGAAATATACTGGCCAATATCATTTCTGGAGTGACTAAAACTTGAAGTTTTTTATCTTTGTTTTTCAAACAGCATTTATTAATCTAGTTTAATGTTCATTTATAAATGTAAATAAAATGTAATTATTTCAAATGTAGAAATGAGTTAATGTGTAGGCATAGTTAATGAACATGAATTAAGAATTAATATTTTTATTTAAAATTAAAAATCATTTAAATATATCCAGTGCTGGGTAGATCCCAAAAATTGATCAGCCTATACACTCTAAACAGTGCTGGGTTGTTTGAACCCAAATTTGGGTAAAACATGGACAAACCCAAATGTTGGGTTTAAAATGTAATTTCAAATTTTAACCCAACTTTCACTTTCAACTCTATTTTTTTTATTGCATTTTTAACCCAACATTTGGGTTTGTCCATATTTGACCAAAATTTGGGTTCAAACAATCCAGCATTTCTTAGAGTGTACTTGTAATTAGATTATATTATGTAATACGTATGTATTAAGACACTTGTGTGTGCTCAATCTAGTTACTTTTTTATTGATTAAATGTTATTCCCACAATGGATAATTGATAATTTATTGATTCCGCTCTACTACCTTTTTATATTTTAAATGTTCCATAGTCTAATGCAATGCAACAAATTGCACACACAGACCAGCCTCTACACTGTAAAAAAAAATTGTGTTGGTTTAACTTAAAAAAAAGTAACCTGGTTGCCTTAAAATTTTAAGTTCATTGAAATGTAAAAATTATGTTAATACAATGAAGGAGATTAATTTAATCACCAGTAACTCAAAATATTATGTTATCTGAACTACATAAGTTGTCTAAGTTGATTTGACAAAAGAAAAAATATTTTTACAGAAATCATCTCACTTTGAGGAGTGTGTTCTCAACATCGCAACAGTGCATATCAAATCAACACCTGACGAAAACATGAATTATTATTTGAATAATCACACAATAATGAGTCATTTAACAATGCATTTCTGTCTTTGGAAGGCTTTTGTCTTTCAAACAC